CCTTGAATGTAGAAGGTTTGAAGAGTATGTGTTCCCATTTAACTCTGCATTTGTGATTTTGGAATGCAGTCATATATCAATAATTAGAACTGCTGGACGCTTGAGAAAATGCTTCACTTAATTAACACTTTTGCAGTCATATGTATCACTTATTGCTGTCTCATTGTGTTCCAGCATGGACTGAGAATAAGAGGTTCATCTCCTTCTGATTTTTTTGAAATTAATTCCATATTCCATATATCAATGATATATGGAGTCAAATTGGCAGAAACATTTTTCTGGCAATAGACCCTCCTTGCCTCTACACTTGCTCATTCAAATGTGAGCAGATTTGTTTGAGTAGGATTTTGGCAAAAACCACTCAAGCTGTCTTTTGTTTTTTCTTTGCTGTGTCATAGTTACGGTTCCACCAGAGGTTAGTGTGGTCATTACTTACCCAAGGACTTTTTGATGCTTTGCTCAGCTGCATTGGTGATGCAGGATGTGACAGCATCATCAATGCCCTTACACTGAACCCATGTCATCAGCTATGGTTGTTGGAATTGAAAACTGCTGCCAATTGACTCTTTGTAATTCCAATAGAAAGGGTGTGCACTTGAGGGTTCCAGATCTGTTATGCTCAAGATTATAGGGTAGTGATTGCTTTTAATGTAGTCATTTTGTTTTGGTTTATATGCTCGTTTGTAAATATTTCTTAATTTCAAGTGTTTTGGTATTGGTATATTGTGTATGTGATCACTTGAGAGTAGGTCATCATGTGTACATAATGTCCAGTCAATATAGAGGACTGGAGAGCAGATAGATAAATAAATAATGGTAAAGAATTGAGTTTGGACATGACAATGTTTTTGCCCCAGTGTTAAAAAGTGTGTGTGTGTGTGATCAGTTATAAGCTTCTCCATTGTTTTTAAAGATTTCATGAATGTCTGAATTTCCATATTTGCAGTTTTTATTTTTACATTATGATTATATTGAAAACAACAATGAAAAATAATTGTTACTAAATAAGTTATATGCTAGTTAATCCTTTATATAAAGTTTTTTTTACTTTTTTTAAAAGTTTTTGTAAATTATGTAACTAAATTATTATAATTTTTTTAAAATATTGAAATAAAATGTGTAGTGTGTATTTTTGTATTTATTTTGTTATATGAAAATGATTTCTGTCCAATTTCAAAACATTTTTGAAATTATAAAAAACTTTAATATATAATTATATTATTTAATCTGATTTTGATTAAAAGCTAGTTTCAAACTAAATTTCATTGTGCATGATTTTAGATAATATCCTATATATATGTTTTATAATCATTTTTATTTATTTAAATCTAAATCTGTAACATTGAAGAATCACAAACTTTTTTTTATCTAGAGATAAGATATCTTGAAAACCTCCACTTTCTATTGAATAAGTATTGGAAAAGATTATAAATACTTCAAAAAAATGAGACCTTTAATAAATAATCAATAATATAAGTAAAATCCAAACTAAATTTTCTCTTCTCTATTGCAGGACAAAAAATAAGATCAACACAGGAACTATTAAAATTTTATATGTAAATTTTAGATACCTGCACTGTGAATAATTAATAAAGTTTTATATTACTGATTGGCGTTATAGCATAGATATTTTAAATATCAGTTATTTCTCAGACAAACAGCAAGTTAAAAATAAAAATGAAAAAAAAACAAAATTTTTTTAAATAATGAATTTTAATATAGAAAAATCCTATTAAAGAAAGGATGTCAGTTTATATAAATTGTATTGAAAACTTGTATGTTGTAAAAAAGTAAATGTAAAAGTTTCATACAAAAATACCATTTTAATTAATGATATAGAAAATAATAAGATATAGCTTATTTAAAACATTAATAAAAGCACTTTTGCCTTTGATATTTGAAATTCTGTTAGCTAAAAGCAAATATAAGTACAGTACAAATTGAGCCTACAACCAATTAACTGCAAAATATTGTAGTTAATTGGTTGTAGGCTCAATTTAGCATTACTAACTGTAAGTTCTGTCAAGCTGCTGACAATGTTAACTTTTCTCAGAACAGACCTGTATTAACCAAAACCCATACTGATTAAAACTACATATGTTGAGGATACCTGTATTCAAATGGAACATTCCATACAAAATAAAACATTAAGTTTAAAGGTTGATAGGTTTTCAACACAACAATAAAAAATAAACAAAATTATTTAAAATTAAACAAAATTGAAATAAATTAACTTTCATCTTAAAGCTCTATTCATAGTTTCAATGTAAAATAACAAAACTCCAATGGAATGAATTACTTTGTAAATTCCAATAGAAACTTCTAAAAGCAGCATAAACTATTATTTGCAAAGTCTTCATAGTGTTACTTTAGAGCTGACATTCTAATTGAAATTTGATTTGAAGCATTTTTGTAAGATGAACTTTGAAAAAGAAAGTTAGTTAATCTGTTCAGACAAGCATCTGCTTACAAGTGAACTTATAAGGGATACTTGTCTGAAGATTGTCTGTGAACAGATTTTGAGTGGGAATTATTATTTCTGATAATGAATATTTGCTTTAATTGATGAAAACTCGAATAAAAGCACTTTTGTCTTTAGTATTTGTGTTTCATTTAATTCACATCTTGTTTAATCACACAGAAAATTAATATAAAAATAAAATCTTTATTTTACAGATATCTTTAAAATAAAAATATCTGTAAAACTTCATTCATTTAGTATATGTAAATACAAAAACTTTTTTAGCCTTAAAATCCATCGTGTTGGTTTCTTTTATTTTTCTTTAAAAGTTTGTATAGAATTCTTTTAATTTTTCTTTAAGATATAAATAATAGTTGAAATTGTCAAGAACTAAGGTAAACACAATTTAGAAAAGATAAGAGTTAAAACTTGATTTATGTACATGGTTTNTCATATTTTTTTTTTTATTTTGTTTAAAGTAGTTATGATAATATTAGTAGTTCCTGTATTGAATGACTGCATTGTTTTAAGTAATTAGCTATCATTTATACAATGAGTCATCTGTTATATTCCCAGCGTGTCAGGTAGCAAATGGAATATTGTCCTTTGTAATTTAGTTCTTTCTGTAATTGAATGACTAAAAAATTTGTCTAAAACACTTCTCAGTAAATAAAAAACAAAAAACTTCTTTGTAGAAATCAGTGTCTTTCTTTTATTATAATTAAATGACCTTTCCAAATTAACTTTGATGCCAGAACTTATATTGTATTTATTACATTAATTAGCTAACTTAAACTAATGGTTTGCAGTTAAGTTGCATTGTACTAAATTTAATAATTACGTTAATTTCAAAATAAATTGAATCATTTAGACTATTCTGGAAGAAAGATTCAATCCAGAGCAGAACTCGAACTTGACTTTTGTTTACCATAAAGATGTTAGTTATGTTATTCATACCTAAATAACAATACAAGTCACTTATGTAGGGTTCTAACATCTTAAAATTAAATAGTCTGGAAGCAAAGATTGGATGCAGATCTAGGTTGTTATTGTGACCGTAGGGTCGGCGTCTCTTTGACACCATGTCAGGAGACCTGAATCTGACACCACCGAGTCTTGCAGGATTCGGAAATCGCGACGTTATGTCACGCGAGCGGTAGTGGGTGAGTGATTGGATTCGGAGTAGAGGTGAGGAGCGAGACGAGGTAGTGACTCACTCGGATTCCATATTTTCTAACAAATAACAATTTTAATAAGAACCAAAGACAATACAGAGATATCGGGCATATTATTGGTCTTAATTATTATACTAGGAGGTTGAGAGAGAGAGTTTACAACTGAATCGCGGGTTGATAAATACCTTTCTTCTAGGTCGCAGATCTGTAGTATGATGACACTGTTGACTTCGATGGAATGTTCTCTCAAATTCTGGTCCATTAACAGGAACTCTGAGGTGTGGAAGCACAGAAGTGGAGTGAGATTCTTAAAGAGGCACAGTGTTACTTCTGGATTCTGGTGCACGGGTTTTACGTCTGGATTTGGGTTCACAGGGTTAATTTTGTTGGAATTAACCAGGGGATAAAATTGAATAGCTTAAGAATAAATGATTTCCCAATGACAGAGTTTTTGAGAATAAGCAATGAATGTAATGTATTAAAAACAACGAGAATAAGGTAACACAGGCTGCCAATTTGCCTTGTATGAACATAGTAACTAACTAGCACTGATTGTTCAAGAACAAGTTGATTAACATTGATCATAATTATAGAGATTGAAGTTAGTCTAATTAGACTACTGTATTAAAATTCTTTGAGAAATCAGAGTAACTTGGTGTCTGTATTACTATAATGTAGTTTGAATTTCTAACAGCAGAGCAAGATACTAGTTTTATGTTTTCATGGTAATGTAATGTCATAAGGATCACATCTGAAAACTTACGGTATTTAAGTGCATGTAAGTTTTCGGAAATTATGAAAATGTTTTAAAATTGTATAGTTATTCATTTTTGCATTCCAATCTTCCCATCTTTAGTTGGAATTACTCTATATTAAACCTAATAAAATTTTTCGGTGCTAAGTGATCTGGTGGATTTGTTGGACTATATTAAGGCTAGTTTAATAATTAGATATAAAATAATTTAACTAGAGTTAGGCATTTAGCATTAATAATTGGGTTATTGGATTTGTTGTTATATAGAATTTTTCTTAAGTACAGTACATAATAAAAATAAAACATTATTATAAAACTGAACATAACTGTGTGGCATTTATTTGGTATAGTTTACACTGGTTTACTGTATAATAATTCAGGTTTGGTTAGCTATATCTACTTATTATATCATCAATTAGACTTTAATTTCCTGAAAAAATTGTGTTAAATTGATGAGTTTGTCGTGTATTTATCAATACACAATCATCAATTATTATAATTAATTTTCGGTTGATTATATTTTGCAACATACCATTACTATTATTATTAGTATTGAAGTTAAATATTTCAAAGTTTATGTAGATTTTAATAAAGATTTGTCTGTTTTCAGATGGTAGGTGTTGTAAACCATTTTATATAGGTGACCAACAAGTTGGAGTCATAAGACCTGATATATGGCAGCATCTTTCAAAATATCCTCAAATTTTTCATTATAACCAAGCATCAGATAGTGTTACATTGAATCCTAACTGGAGGACATATGATGAACGAAGCACAAAATTGGATTTGGTTCTTCAGGAAATAAGAAAACAGAATATATTCAAAACACTGGCTGGTTGGAGGGATGAGGTAGGAATGCAAATAACTATTACAGTTATTTTTTTAATAAAATTTTATCTTTAAATAAAAAAAACAATATAATTAATAAAGTAAATTTGAAAATTAACTAAAAAAATATATATTGTATTTATTGAGAAATCTTGCATTTTATGTTTTCAAATAATCTATATATATAAAAATGAATGAATGTCTGTCTGTCCTTCATGCATTACTAACCATTTATCCGATTGCCATGAAACTTTGTGAAGTTGTTTAATATACTCTTGCGAAGGTTTCTAGCATAGTACGATTGCCATGAAACTTTGGAAAGTTGTTTAATACACTCTCATGAAGGTTTCTGGCATAGTACATTTATTCTACGATAGATGGCGTGTGTATATACGAGAATTTCATTGTGAGCATTTCAGCACGGTTAGGAGTTGAAACTTGAAATTTGGTACACAGTTAGGGTATGTCACGAGAACATACACTAACAAGGAATTTTTTGAAATTCCTCCCCCCACGGGGAAAGGGACAGGATTAAGGCTTCAACAATGGAAGTGTTAAGAGAAAGTAATGTGCAAGATTTACAGGTGCAGATGCAGTTTTTTGCGTTAAATCAAACATAATTTTAGACCCATCTAAAAATTTTCTAATTAGTTTGGAAACAGGGGGACCTAGTTCTTGCATTCTGTGAAAATGGGTAAGATTGGCTGTAATGTAATAATCTTAATCTTCGCTATTGTTACTTTTTGCCCAAGCAACACCAGGCTTATCTGCTAGTTGAGCAATAAAATATGCAGTATATATATATACTGCATATTTTATTACTCAATCATCTATATATAAAAAAATGAATGTGTGTGTGTGTGTCTGTCCTTTATGCATTACCACACCGTTTATCCGATTGCCGTGAAACTTTGGGAAGTTGTTTAATATACTCCAGCGAAGGTTTGTGGCATAGTACGATTGCCATAAAACTTTTGAAAAGTTTTTTAATACACTCCCATGAAGTACATTTATCCTACGATAGATGGCGCGCATTTACACGAGCATTCGAACACTGTGTGTTNGGCATAGTACGATTGCCATAAAACTTTTGAAAAGTTTTTTAATACACTCCCATGAAGTACATTTATCCTACGATAGATGGCGCGCATTTACACGAGCATTCGAACACTGTGTTAGATCGATTTCAAATTGTGAAGACCATTTCTCCCCCTTCAAAAAAATATCTCTATATATGCATTTGTTATTTATGATATTTGTAATAATTTTCGTTTAATCACTTTATTTCAAGTATTTTTTGCTAATTATGTATTCGCTCGAACTTTGTTAAAACCTTAACCGTATTCCGAACAACAACCGAAGTTGTAGGAGGAAATTCGCCTATTTTACCGATCTAGGATCCCCCTTTCCAAAATTTTAATATCGACTCAAAATAATTTAAAAACACAAATTACAATAAAACGGTTTATTATCCAACTATCAGAAATTCCACAACATGCCAAGGAAGAGAGGAAGGAGCAATTAAATAATCAAAATTATAAAGGATTTAAAAAAATTATATAAAAATGAGGAATATCGCACTTCTAACAATCTCTGTGTGTATGTGGGCTAAATTTAAAGAATCCGTGCTTCTCACATGTACAGTACAACTGTATGTGGCCTGTTCACGCGTCGGAAAAACTTCTGATTTATTCGTGTACGCATCAGACAGAAAAACAAAAAATATCGTGTATCCACAAGCACTCCAATAAATAAATAGAATTGAAACGACACTTTGAAATATTTTCCCAATTAAAATGAATAATAATAATAATATAATACTAAGTTTCAATAAAAATGATTAAAATGTAAATTTAATTTTATCATAACGAAACTTGAATTTCGTTTCTTCTGAGATCACAGCAATGCGCGACGGGTAAGCTAGTTATCTATATATATAAAAATGAATGTGTGTGTGTGTCTGTCCTTCATGCATTACCACACCGTTTATCCGATTGCCGTGAAACTTTGGGAAGTTGTTTAATATACTCCTGCAAAGGTTTCTGGCATAGTACGATTGCCATGAAACGTTGGAAAGTTTTTTAATACACTCCCACGAAGGTTTCTGGCATAGTACATTTATCCTATGATAGATGGCACGCATGTATACGAGCACTGTGTGTTCTGTGTGTTTGATCGATTTCAAATTGTGAAGACCATTTCCTCTCTCCAAAAAATATCTCTATATGTGCATTTGTTATTTACGATATTTGTAATAATTTTTGTTTAATCACTTTATTTCAACTTTTTTTTG